CCCCAAAACCCCAAAACCCCAAAACCCCTCTTTATGAGTCGATAATTGGGATAATCAATGTATATTTAATACTGAAGATGAGACCTTAAGTTTAGGAATAGTCAAATTACGATAACTACCGGATCATTCCTTATGTAGTATAAAGAACTATAGGGATAAGGAGCTACTTTTGAACTAACGAAGGTGTATCTCATTTGATAAACACTCTAATTGTCACTCAATAAAGCCTTTTGTGACTCATTCTGATCTTTATATTTTTTAAGAGAAGCATAGTAACTATACTTGGTACTAGAGTCTCTATTTCTGCAGCACTTTACTTATTATTAGAGGGCAACTATAGTTGGAAGAATTTTCATTTTTTAATAAAAGCTTTCTAAAATTCTTCTCATTCAAAGCCAACTGAACTGTAAACTTGAGTGCCATGTGTCCATCTTGAGACTTAGAATAATGAGCAAGACAATCTTATTAACTGGGATGTAGATGAAGAAAAATAACTCAACCAAGAAAAGGTAGATGAGAGCTCGATTTATAACTCGCCTAATACCACTCATTCAAGGATCAAACAAATAATGTGCGGAAGGAAAGGGAGAGACCAATAAGCTCTTGATTTTTGAAGCTGATTTACTAAAACTAGAGAGCAATTATGTTAGTGATGAAGAGGATATAGCTTCGATAAAAATTAACACAGGGTACAAGAAATACTTTGAGATTCAATAAAAAGCTTAACTACGAATTCTTCTGAGCTTCTAAAACCTGATTTTTAGCTTGAGATATCAGATGTTCCTCTGTCTCAACACTAAGACCAGCGATTTCATCCTGATGGAAGCTACCTATCTTCTCGTCTTCATCAGGTTTTTCTAAATGATCAGAAATCATGCTCACTAGTATCGAATATTTTGGTAGCATCAGCGACGCTGAGGATTCCTCCAGCTAGGGTCTTCATACGGTCTCTTTTCTCCTTCTCTTCCTCTGTGAGCTCAATTTTGTAGGTAGCTAATCTGGCCTCTAACTCTAGAAAGCTATCAAGTTGTTCCTTAGTCTCCTTCTTGAGCTCTTCTAGCTCATCCTCTGTGATATCTATAGTCTATTGTCGATCATTGAGATTTCAAAGATATTTTAATAACTATATGATGAAATAGTACAATGGGATGGAGCTGGAATTGAAGATTAGAGAATCTGACATAATTATTTCTTGAATTAAATATCTTCCTACTCAGGTTCGCCTAATGGAATTCAATCTATATGGGCCAAAATCGATCAAAAATCAACTTTCCATACTCTATAACCCCACATATACCAAATTCCCCCTCTAAACCCTTCAAACACCTCCAAAACCGCCCTAGAGCCCTCCTTCCTTACCTTCATCGTCCTGATAAGTCCTTATATCCTCTAACTGTTGTGTTAATCTCTCAATCTGAGTATTCACTTGGTTAAGGAATAACTCTGAATTCATCATATCTTTGGAATCCATACTTGTATTAAGCAATTTTAGGTTTATTTTTGGGGTTTTGGGGTTTTGGGGTTTTGGGGTTTTGGGG